ATATTACACGTTTTGGTGATAGAACAAAAAGTGATATCAATCATAACAATTAACGTAAGTGCATAATGATGCATTGAATGATGGCTTGGTTTAACCAAAAATAAACAAATATTATGAGTTATATATGAATGAATTCAACAGCTTAAGTAAACAAGAAAATTGGAAACAAAAATTCATCTTATCACTTTAATAATCATTTGATGAATGCATATTATCATCAAATATTACAGTCAACAGTGGAAAGTAATCCAGACATGAGCTATGAAAGTGAAAAAGTTCCAATCGCTACAAATCCAATGTCGAATGAAGAACACCTAAATGATTCTGTTGAAACTCCTCTGGATCAGTGCAATTCACAACCCAGTTCATACATTTTTCTTATGTTTTAAAAACATTTCCATTATCAATAGATTAAAATCATCCAATTAACAGTTTCGTTAGAAAAAATGCTTTACCGATTGAAATAATAAATTTTTTTCAAATTAAAAAAAAAAAAAACATAAACGTATCATACAGTATTAATCGAATTGTCAGCAGAAAATTAGATAAACTTACATGATAAAATAGATTTAAGAGCGTTTTATGTAAAAATAAAATAAAATAATTATTTTTATAATTAATTAATCAATCATTAAGTGTTACATTGATAATTTTATAGTAAATGGTAAAAATCAACAGAAAAAACTAAACGTTTCTATAAGAAGGAGAAAAAATTGCTTCAAAGAGAATGCAGAAATGAAACGTGAACGTAAAGCATGGCGTACGCTTGCTATTATTACTGGAACATTTGTCGCATGTTGGACACCATTTTTTCTCGTATCTTTATATCGACCGATATGTCGTTGCAAAATACCAACATTAGTAGAGTCAATTACCAACTGGTTAGGTTAGTTGTTTGTAAATTAAAAATTTAACCTCATTAATGGTAGTTTTATGAGTTATATATATATATAAATCTATTTTTATTCAACTTACAGGTTATTTAAATTCAGCACTTAATCCGATCATTTATACCGTATTTTCGAATGATTTTCGAGCAGCTTTCAAACGTATCCTTGCTCGTTTGCTATTTCTGAGAATGCCACGATCACAGTACCGATAACAACGATGATTATTCGACACTTTATACTTCTAATATCATGAATAAGGAAAATTGAAAAACTATTCAATAATCTTTCGTAATTGGTGTGCTTTAATAGTAAAACTCGTTTATGTATTCGCATGTAAATAGATCTCTGTGCCGTATAATCTATAGCCCAGTTTCTTTATGAAGATGAAATTGATATTTTCCTACACAATTGATCTGGATGACCTTATTGAGGAGAGAGGCAACGGATAAGATACGAAAGCACAAAAGGTCATATTGGCATGTAAATGAGATGTTACTTCAGGTCATATTGTCATATTGGAATATAAACGTATGTACACATTAGATGATTGATAATTAATGCAAATGATACACCCTTTTCTTTCGAATAAATCGTTATCAACCGACCCAGCAAGAATCAAGGTGAAACGATGTCCTGGACCCAGAAATAAAAAAAAAAGCATCATTACAAATTCAAACATCAGTCAACAATTGCTGAAGATTGCGAAGTAAAACGAAAACCGAAACTGTTAAACGTCATTCAATTGATCCTCAGAAAATACGGCATATAATGATGCTCGTATAATACTCCAAAATATATGAACCTTTCTATAGATCAATGTTTGGATACTCATTGACTAAACCTTTAAATTAAGCCGGAAATTAAGAAAAAAATCCATCTTTTTATTCGTATTGTGCATTCATTTCATGATGCAATTAAATCAGTTGGATTATTTTCATCCCTAATTTGAATTGAGTTCTAAAAGAGATATTAGATAGGGAAATACTTTTTAATGCTAAATTTATCTCCTTTTTTTGATGTTACAAAATAAATAACCGTCATCATTTCAAATTTTAATAGCAAGAAATATCCTGTTGCAACAACACAAACAGCACCAAATTATGGATAGATTATTTTCAGAAAGAAACAAAGCAATAAAAATCAAAATGAGTTTAAAAGAGAATACAACAATTATAAATCATAACAGCAAGACGGTCTCCTCTTCTTAAAAGACCGTTCCTAACACATATTATGGATATTTTACTTGGCATTTTTTCTCTAAGATCATAATGTGACATTCGGCAGTTACCAGCAAGAAAAACAACATAACTTACAAATTAGTACATCACATAAGAAAGATTTTCAGAGCATAATTAAATCCAAATTCAGCACGGATGCTCCACGTTCTGTTCCATTCTCGAATTTTTCTCCGTTAGCCTTACTTCATCCTAATTTACGAAATTAACTGTTTTGAATTAATTGGAAAATTTTTTATAACAAAAAAAGAGTAAGGAAAAGCTGAAACCAGTTTAAATTAAAAAATATCTTGCAATGACTTTCCATAAGAACAAATACAGAATGAAATGCAGATAGAATGAACACCAAAAACAACAGAGCGTTCCACACATGGAAACCGGCAGACGTTCACAGACATACATAATCAGCACCAAAAGAAAACAACAGCTATAAAAAGCAAAAATAAAACAGGTGTTATATTGATTTAATTCTTTTTCTCCGAATGATTAGTCTGACTAATCATTCAGGAAAATAGTGATAAGATCCTAAAATTTGATTTACTTTGATCTATGGTACACTATTACTGATGTCTAATCACTATCACAGTTGTAGAAAACTTAGTGCATACCGCAATACTAAATGAGAAACGTGGTTGATTTGCTCCCTAAAATATATCACTTCCATGGAACGGTAACCACTACTTCCTGCCACCAAATGCAGCCAAATTACAGTCAAAAATTTTACAATATCTAAAATCTTTGAGAAAACTTTTAAATTTAAAAACGAAGTCCATAAACAATAAAGAAAACGAAGAAGTCCACAACACATGCCAGACTGACAAAGTATGGCAACATATCATTGCAACTTGTCATTTTACTAATCGATCCAATCGGAGGGTACCCATGCTGGTTCATGTTCTAGTTTGTTCACTATGTTCCGTAATTGTTCGAATGAGGCTTCGAAATTAGCATTTATCAGCACATGATCAAACACATGTCCGTAAATCTGAAAAAGCTGTTCACCAGCTGAGATCATTTGTTCAAATTCCGAATCTGTAAATCCGCGACCTGCTACTGGTATTGATGTATTAACACCACCACGATTATTAAGATCTGTAGCTTGCAAATTTCGTGCACGATGCTGACGCCGAGTTTCCTAGAAAGATATGATATGCAGTAACTTCAACATCCACAACATTCTTGAGATTTTCTGTAAAAATTAATGAAAACAAATCTTACAATGAAATTTATAAAAATTTTAATCAAAATGGATTAATGTTCGAATGAGGCTTCGAAATTAGCATTTATCAGCATATGACCAAACATATTCGTAATAATCACGTTTTGAAAGATCATGAGTAAATGTCAAATAAAAATTAATCAGAAGTAGTGATTCCTTGCCACTATATACCTTTAAAATATCAAATGGCGGTGGTTTAACAAAAATAACGAAGGACTTGAACACTTTCGAGCGCAAAACCCGTAATGCCAAAGGATGAGTGTTCAGTACAGGTATACGACCTGAAAATGAATAATGCAATAATAATGTTTCTTTTAATGTCTTTCCCACTTCCGATAAAAATATCAATCCGTCATCAATAACATCGTACCTTGCTTGATAACAGCATGAACCGAATCAGCAAGTGTACCATATAAATTTCCTTTATATTCTCCATATTCCAAAAATCGTCCTTGTCTTATCCATTGTTCCATACTATCGCGTTTTGCAAAGTGATAATCAACACCATCTTTTTCATGTGAACTGCAACCTATTGCTGATTGTTGGTCGTTTCGTCTCATAAATTTCTTAATCAGTAGTTTCTGTCACCAATTTCTGTTCTCCTTACACTTCTTGCTATTCAATCAAAATAAAACATAAAAGAAAGAATACTGATTAATCATGCCCTTAGATTTTTCATTTTAATGAATGATAGTTGCAACGAATGCGTAATTGCTGGCGATCCACGTAAAAAGCAAATCAAAGTGAACAAGTGATTCTGAAAAAGCCATCCCTGGTGCTTGAAACACTTAATGTTCAGTTTATCTGAACAAGTTTTATGGAATTTTTCGATATCTCTTACATGTTATCAATGAACTATCAAAAAAACTATTTATGGTGAAACTTTTTGTAATTAAAACAAATATACCGTTGAGGGCGACTGGTATGGGGTACGCTTGCTGCATAACGATCACTATTAGTAGCAATTAGTCGTTTTTTCAGTTCACTACGTCCAACACCTGGAGGCCCGATTAAAACGATAGGCCGGATAAGAGATTGTTTTGGATAAAGCAGTGATACTGATTCGTATAATAAGCTGTCAATCTAAAACTAAAATAACTTAAACAAATAGAGAAATAAATTATAGTGAAAACAAAGAAAGCTATTAACTTCGAATGACAATATATCTTCGATTAAAATCTTAATACCTGATGGTTAGCTTAACGTTATGTAAGTTCAAAAAAGAAAGAGAAATGAAGATTTGTTATTGATCGATGATAATAGGAGATTATTAAATGTTACAAAAAATATCAACATTTATAATCTTTAATGAAAAACCTCATTGCCAGCTTTCGTAGACTTTCGATTTGTAGTCCTAAACTTTTCATTTTCTTTTAGAGTTCGATGTTTTTGCTGCAATTCTTCCGATGGGATGACACCCACCCGTTTTTTAAGCTGATTGGCTAAAATAGTTTATCATTCATTTCTTACTTCCCTTAACGAAAAATACTTCATAAAAATTTCACGAATTTTTATGCAGAACTTTACAACAAAGACAGTGCTTCAATTAAACAAGAACTACAATGCGTGATGGATCTAACTACCAGATGCTAATGAAAGAGTCGCAAATGAGCCATGTCCGAGTGAACGCGCTTGCCACCAATGTTCATCTCCTGTTAGCACTAATTCCAATATTTCTCCTCGGGTGAAACAAAGAGCTGCTTCAGGACATGGATGTAAGGAATCTCGACTACCAGAATAATCGATCTATAATTAAAATTTGTACTCAAATCGCTGATGCATCACACAGAATATTACGTTAGGACATACCACATATTTCATATCTTTCTTCCTTATTATGAATTGACAAAAAAAAACAATTAATAATTCTTTTAAAATTCTTTCTATTACTGATGTATCCTTAGTTATCAACCAAAAACACAGTCATAGACATCAAACCTAAAATAAAGAAAGTGGATGAAGTTAAATATAAAAATTACCAAAGCACGAACGTGTCGTGATTCATTCCACGCAATAGCTGCAGGTATTTCAGCGGGTTCCAATTTGAAAGTAGCAGTACCGTTTTCACTGTTTTCGTTACCCAACAATTTGACAATTTCATTTGGGCTCATGCCCGTAACACAGACACTGTTCACTTCCAAAACCCTATCTCCAACCTACAAAGTTTAAAAACACTGAAAACAATTATGTCATTTTCTGAAAAGACATAAATTATAATTTTCATGATTTTACCAGTCTTGATTTTTTACTAATAGTTCTCATGTTGATGAATTTATTTCTCATTGGAAAAAACTGAAAATACATTTTAGATCTGTGACACTCAAATGTACTTAACATTTTAGAATCAAAATAACTTTTTTCTACTAAGCCAAAGGTGTCGATTACCAGTAATGAATAATTATGATAAAACATGCTTAATATTGTGTATTTTACGAGATCTTTAAAAAACATGGTGAAAGAAGAATCACTAAAAATAAACCGTCTAGATAGGAAAGACAAATTAAATAGTAATATCTATTCTACTTTAAAAAAAAGCTATCCAAACCTGAATATTGCCGCTACGATCAGCAACTCCTCCAGCTATAACACGAGCAATATAGACTCTTCCATCAGTATCACATTTTATAGTAGCACCAAGTGCTTCATTACCTTTTACTAGTCGAACCAGTTTAACAGCAATACCATCATCGTCATCAACTTCATATGGTATTTCTGGTAATTGTGGCAAATAGGTGCGGTTTGAAGTAATATCATATACGGAGAATAAGCTCTAAAAAAAATTATAACAACAATAAAAGAAATTGTGATTATTCAATAAAATTTGACTTAGATAACTGTAAGGAAACATATACAAATATGATTGATACAATTATGTTCAAATCAAATTTCATATTCACATTTCACAAAATCTTATGTTCAAAGTAAGCTACCTTAATAATAGGCTTTGAAAGAAGTGAAACAAGCTGTTGCACTGCCACTGATGGCGGCGCTGATTCTTCCCATTCATACAACAATGAATCAACTATTTCGGTTAATATGCTATCCCTGAAAACAAAATTTTCATTATGGTCACATTCTAAGATTACTTCACAAAATATTGAGCAAAATGTAACTTATTTAAATCAAAAAACTTGTTTTAGAATTTTATCTGGTTTCCCGTTCTCTTAACAAATAATGAATTTTCCAAAAAATAAGAACTCCAGTTAAATGATGGATATAGTAATACTCAATTAAGATACCCAATACGAGAGAGATGTAAACCACGATTGATTAATGTTTTGTGAATTATAACAACACGTTTGAGATCATCTGCTGTTAAGCGTTTCTTTCGTTTGCCAAATTCATCTTCAACACATTCCAGGATACATTCATATGCTTTCACAAAAGCTTCCAACGTGATAGGCGTTGTATCCATCCGCCGTCGCATGTGATATAACTAATCAAACATCGACAAAATATTCAATAGATCTTTGACTAAAGCTGAAATTTTATGGAAGAATCATAAAATTGTCATGAAACGTGTAACTGCACGCTATAATTGTCAGAGAAAGCATATACTTTCGTAAAATGCAGCTACCTATAATACATTCCGCAAAATCACAATCGGAAATAATGAATCCTTTCAACTCATCGCTAAAACAATTCGGAAAAATATGAACTCCAATTTTCTCATTACGATGAATTATTGAATAAATAAGCAATAATGCACAGAGAAATGTCCTGAAAATGATTGTACATTATTATTACAGCTCAACAGGTACACAATCCGGTACGTAATCTCTCCATCAGGTATGGGAATAATTTGCACTGTTTGGCTATTCTTCCGAACCCGTTCCTCAAACCACACTGTCAGCGTGCACTATTTCCGCACGTGCACGAAATGAAATTTCTAAAATGTTTTGATCATCCATTTGACAAAAATAGAAATAATTGGGATTCGAGATTTTTTGTACTTCGAATTCGGATTCAGTTTTGAAAACTGCAACAACAAAATTATAAATTATTTCAAAAATGAAAACTGAAAGTCAAATCAATTTTTTTATGTGTAATGGAACGGTTGCTTCGCTTAACCGGTTTTAATAGTGTATGTTACTCTAAGTCATGCAAATTCAATGACCCCACTCTAATCTGACCTCTAGTAAAATTGATATAGAATATGTGCGCTCATATACGTCTGACTTTTTTAATAAAATCACTGTTCAACAACTAGGCCATAAATTCAGTGTAAAGAGTACTTCAGGCTCATATTACACAGCCATGCGTTTAGAATTTCCTTACATGACCATACTTATAATTTATCTGAAACGGATAATATATTACGACCGAAATCATTTACTTCTTCAATTTGACCTGAATATTTCCCATTGCATTACGTTCAGAAAAGTTTTCAGCAGTCAGAGGATGAAAATTTCGAAGAAGCCAAAAACATATTTTTGAACTTTCCCCTCCTGTGTAATAATCACTCATTTAAATTATAGGCCTTATTTCAATTTCGAAATGAAATGAAAAGTAATGTAGTAAAATGAAATAAATTATCATAATGTTGTAACATTATTGAACTGCATGCGTTACAGGTACCGAAAGCAGCGCCTCAGGATGTGCTGAAACATCCGGATACCGGTGAAACCCTCTATCTGTCATCACTTGCTCTTCTTAAAATGCTTCGACACGGTCGAGCTGGTGTTCCAATGGAGGTCAAATGTTGCTGTCATTTTCAAAGTAGCTTGAAAATGTTCCACATATTACATTATCGAATGATGATGATAAATGATAAGGAAGATTCGTCGATATAAAGGATGGCTGGTTATGTTATGTTATCAGATAGATAATCAAATTTGTCGTGATAATCGAATTAATAGGATCAGAATTACACCGTTCAATGGTATTTAATGAGAAGGAAAAAAATCATTCGATTAGAATTGTAAAAAAGATGAAATAGACAGAGATAAGAAGAGAGAGAGAGAGAAAGTGATTTAAGGCTTATCATTTTTTCTTCTTATTCTTGAAAGTGTGTTATAGCTAAGCCTAAGTCTGTTAATCACACAACTGATTATGGGAAACTCTTAATTAATACTTTTAATTTTTATCGGGTGCTTGATCTTGTTTCAAATTTCAATAGATTTTAATGCACCAGTAAATAAAATCAATCATACAATTGATGTCAACATTTAATAAGTTTGATAATTGTTATCAGTTGTAATCATTTTTAGGTAATGGGATTAATGCTGGGCGAATTTGTCGATGATTTTACGATCACTGTTGTTGATGTATTCGCTATGCCACAGTCTGGAACAGTATGGAATAAAATTTTCGTTGGAAAATACTATATGGAAAAGGAGAGGAGAAGGGACCGAAAGATGAGGACCGAGAAGCGGATATGAGAGGGGGGAAATCTAACCCGATAAAGATAGAATGGGACAGAGTATAGAAGTCATGAGGATTTTGAATGAGCAAGGAAAGATTTGCTACTTCCTATTTTTCAAATTTATCATTGAAACGGTTTCAGCTTTATTACTATCCGAGCTGTTCATAACAACTAATTCAGGAAAAAGTGCTGAAAAAGACAAATTATTTCATACCGTACTTTGTTTAATAATAAATAAATTTTGGGGTGTATCTGTGGAAGCGGTTGATCCGGTATATCAGACCAAAATGCTCGATATGCTAAGTCGTACGGGACGAACTGAGATGGTTGTAGGTTGGTATCATTCACATCCAGGATTCGGTTGTTGGTTATCCGGTGTTGATATTGCTACACAGCGAAGTTTTGAAGCGCTCAGTGATCGTGCTGTTGCACTCGTGATCGATCCAATACAATCGGTAAAAGGAAAGGTAAGTGATCCGATACAATCGATAAAAAGGAAAGGCAGTTGATTCAGTGCTTAAAGAAGTTCTAATTTTTTTTTCTTAAATTAGCTATTATTCAATAATGATAAACCTTTGATCATTGAATGACTGAAGGAGGATATGTCATATTTCAACTGTTATGTTCAGGTAGTAATCGATGCATTTCGTACTATTGGACCAAATTCGTTGGAATTCAGTTTTCTGGAAGGTGTCCAAAAGACACTGGCACCTACTCAAGAATCACGACAAACCACTTCTAATTTAGGACATCTGATAAAGCATTCCGTTATTGAGCAGCTTCATGGACTTGGCAAAAGGTTTTTCGTTAGCGATTTATTTTTTCTTTTTTTCTCACCAAATTTTAGAATCAGAATTTACAACTTATCTTTACATTTCATAAGTTCTTTTAAAAACGAAAAATTTTTAAGGTTAAAAAATTAGCGCTTAAAAAATAAAAAACAGTTTAAATCAAAAAGTTTTTTTATGACGCACTTCAGTCCACCTATATCTTAGTTTTTTTGAATTTGACTTACATAGTTAAATTATTCCATTTAAAGTATTCTTTTATTAGATGATTTATTGTTTAAAGAAGTTTTATTTTTTTTTTAAATTTTAGCTATTATTCAATAACGATAAACTTCAAGCTAACAGTTAAAGAGCAACAAATGCTGCAAAGCTTACATATGAAAAATTGGGCAGAGGGATTACGACTGAATAGTTTCGAGAGTGTAATAGAAAATAATTTAGCAAACATGCAGGAAATGGTTAAAATGATCAAACTTTATAACAAAGTAATATGAATTTTATTTAAAGTGATGTCATTTTAATGTTAGTAAAAAGAAAGATTGGAATAGAAAGAATCATAGGAACAGATAAATGAACTTAGGATTGGTTTATAATCCATTACTAGTTTGGAAGTCAAAAAGTTTTGCAGAGAATTTAACAATTTTCAAGTGCTGCTACCTTTTCAAAGAATAGAAGTTAGGCCTTGTTAAGATAAACTAAGTTATACTTTCGAATGACAAAATTACCAATCAAAATACTGAAACTGTATTATTTTATTATGATTCAATTTTCCGTTGTGAATTTTTTCTTCTCTTACAGTTACTAAATCTTTAAAATTTTATCATTTATGAAATTTTTGAAATTAAACTTTGAAAAATTCGGAGAAAAAACATCCTTTATCAAGTTATTGGTGAGGATTTTAATCTCTCGGTTATTAAAGATTTAATTGAATATGTGTGAAATATTTTATGAAATATTTTCAAGAAGTTAGTCATTTTAATTATATTTCATAGATTTAAATTAAAAACAATTCATGTACAATTAAACCTATAGCAACCGAAAATCCTTCATCTTCATTAAAATCAGGAATTATGTGCATTACCGAAAAAGTCACATAATGAAAAAGGAACGGAAAGTAAAACGGAGTCGTCGAAAGGGATGGAAAGTAGAACAGAGAAGTCAAAAGCACCATCAAAAGCTGAAATTGAAGCAAAGCAAGTTGGTCATTTCGATCCAAAACGACATCTGGCGACAATTGCCAATGACCTGATGAAGGACAACATCGTGCATGAATTGCGCTCCATGATCGATGCTACCGCTTTTCAGTAATTTTGTCTTCCAAAATACTACATTTCCTCCAATTTTTCCAACCGCATTTTCCGTGTCATTTCATTACAGTAAAACTTCAGAATGTATATCTGCTGAGGATGGCGGCTTAGTAATCATTGCAATCACCGCCATCATAAAAAAGCTCAATGCTGAAAAGTTTTGGATCTTTCTGTAATCGATGTTAAAGCTTTTCAGTAATTGCATAAACATAATTTATTCTCATTTCCCACAAAAATTAACGAACAGAACTGAATTTCAACTTCTTTCTTTATATGCTAATTTTGCATTAAAACTTGAGATTGAGATTAAAATAATTGTATTATTTGAGTTATAGCTATAATTTCGAAATGAATGAAATTTAAAAATGTATATCTGCATGTGATAGCGGCTCAGTCATTACCGTATTCGTATATTTATATGTAATATGAATATTATTTTTCAAAGGAGTACATGGTATAAAAATAATAAAAGACATGTTGGAGGTTGTTTGTTACTCAAATGACCGGCGAAAAGAAAAGCCTAGATTTTAAATAAAGAAAAACCTAAATTTTAAATAATTAAATATATTTTTTAAACAGTCGGGAAAGTTTTATTAAAGTGATGGCTTTCCATTTATTTACATTTTTCAATTTCACTAAATCATTGCCATCTATTAAAGATGAAATTTCACATCGAAATTTTGGGGAAAAAAAATTGGATACACTTTGGTTTTACTGATAAAGCAATATTAGTATAATAATTATCTGGTCAATCAACAAAGTGATTAAACATTTTATAATTTAAAAAGCTTTAAACATTATGATCCATACACAACGTGAAATTCCAAAAAAATATAATTTTTTCAATTTTCAAAGATTCTAAAATTAAATTTTTCCATTTCTCGTCAATTACTTCGGTCATAAAGAATATTTCAAAAAGAAAAATAAAGAGTAAAATATCACCAACTAATGAATATAAATGATTAGAACAAAACAGATATTAATGATGTTTAAAAACGCGAAACTTCATGACATTTACGATTTTTCAAGACACCGAACGATCTTTGGAAGCTTTTTTTTAAAGTTTTGAGGAAATTATCTGACCGATTTTCCGGAACCGTATCGTACACATCAACTCCATTAGCATTCTACAAAATTGAAGAAATTAGAAAATTAGTTTAAAGACATTAAAAATTTTTATAAAATACTTAGAAACCACTAAGATTTGAAGTAATATTTTTAGATTTTGATTGCGGAACGATTACATCTTTCGTAATTTTAAATAAAACATTCTCAATTATCTTTTTAACTTATCAACCTTAATATTTCTCATTTTATAACGCATCTTTTGTTTTTATTAAAGATTCCATACAAAAAAAAAAGTTATCAAATGTAAACCTTTTCATTTGGGTCAATGTATTGTCCTCCATTCATTTGCGTACACGGTGATAGGTCATTTATGTCTGAAAAAAAAATCATACATTATTATCGAATAATGTGAAACATATATCAATTTTGAGTTACTGCTCAATTATCATCTTAGAGTTACATTGCTCAGTTAATATCTTTACTACGGTATTGCAACTTTGATTTGGCATTATCATATTTTGCGCACGTATATATTATTATTTTTGATTTAATTTAGTTTATTCTAATTTTATCCATCTAATAAAAATTTGTTCAATATAATTCAGGTGCGACATTTCACATAATCGAAATGAATTTAGTTTAATCTATGCAGATTCAAATTTTAATTCTTCTCTTTGTTGCAATAACAATTACCTCCCCCAATTTCATAACTTTGACTACAGTCGATGAAAAACATTACTATTTTAATAATTATCTAATTAGTGTCTAACTCAACTACGTCAACAAATTATGGATAAAAATCTATGATGAAATTATAGAGTAAATCTTATCATTCATTTTTTCCAAGCAAATGTAACTTTAAGATGATAATTAAGATGATAATAATTAGACAGTATGATAATTAAGATGCTTATTAATTTTCAACAATATTGATGTGGAACATAATTTTTCAAGAAAAGCTACAAAATGATTTAAAAATATTGAAAACATAAAATTTCTAACACCAATTCGGAAGAAGCAAAAGAAGAAAAAAACAGGAAATGAGAAATTGTTTTAAATATATTTTCATGAAATAAAAATGATAAAAATCAAATTGACAATAATAATAATAAAACAAAGTATTTTTATGTCAGATGACTTAAAATGTAACAGTAATTATTAATTTAAGCCACTTCGAAATTTTTGTGTGTAAGTAAATATTCATCTATGTTTTTATTTTTGGAACATTTCATTAAATCTTTGTTGACATTCATAATTAGGATATTATTTATCTTTTCATTTCTTTTCTTATATCATTTTATTTTTCGTTTGCATTTGATTTTCTTTCAGATTTATTACTTTTTCCTTCCCCGTTACATTTTCATAGTATCATTCATTGTTTTCAATCAATTTAATAGTGGCAAAAGACAGGACAATGTTCTCGAATAAGAAATTAGTCTGTTTAATTAGTCCGATTGTTATTTATGAACTTCTAATTTTGTCGTATATCATTCTTTTTTTTAAAGGAAATTTTCATACTTTTGTAAATTATTTCAAGAATACTTACAGCTATTGGTAGTTAATTTTGAGGACGATCCATTGGTTTTCTGAAGTGACCGTACATTTCTAATCGGTAGATTGATTACATAGTAATATTCGGTATTATTTTCCGGCTATAACATATATCATTCCTATAAACTAAATAAAGAATGAGAAGGGAAAATGTAAAAAACAAAAATATATACCTGAAAGAGATTACGCACGTGAGAACGACTATTCCGCCTGCGTCCTGACGGAGCGGTCTGAATAGATTTCGTTGTTGGAGCAAATGAAACCATTTTGGAGGGATCAACCGTAAGATTCCGATATGGACTGCACGCATCACTTTTCAAAATTCCCTGCATAGCACCTATAAATTAGCTTATTTTTGATAATAACAAAATTTTTCATTCGCAATATTATTTATTGAATTCTTACACTGACAATTAACCCTTTTAGTATATTAACAGACAACATTTTTATATGCGATATATATACACATCAAATATACATAATATACTGACTACTCGGTAAATAATATTAATGATATGATTGGTAAATGATGTGAATATGATATGTATCTCGGGTGTATTGAGGTATCAATAAATTTTGAATAATTTCAAGCAAAAATAGCAATGAATAGTTGATTTAACAGAAGAACAGAAATAAAATGTAGGGAACTCTTATAAAGTGATTTATAGGGAATTGAAATGATGAAAAGGAACAATGAAAATATGAATTTTCACCAGAATTGATCAAATTATAATAAATCCGAACTGCTAAGAAAAAAACAATCGGAACAAGGTCAATTGCTTACCATTGACCTGAATTTGAATTTCATCGTACAATCGACGACCATTCATCCGTGATAAAATTACCACTTCCGGATGATCCGGTTCAATGGTTAGTCTTATCGATGAAACAGCAAATTCGCCCCATTGTTCTGTAAAATAATCAACAGTTAGCTGTAGTTCAATTCATTCATTCACTTCACAAGCAAATTTCAATTCAAAAAGCATTGAGATAATTTTTTTCCCATTCATTTTAAATTTGAAAATTAAATGTAACAAATTACCGAAAGAAAAAAAAAACCATCCAAATTTTGTAAAGGGTGTAAGAAAAAGAAAAAAAAAAACTGCCAGCATTGTCACATCGATGGCCTTGAAAACGACAACAATTTGAAATAAGCAACAATTGCATCAAATTTATAAAATAGGTAAGAATTTGAGGTTTTTTTAAAGATTCTATCACTTAAAAATAAATAAGGTGAACGGACCGCAATCAGCAATTTGCAAGCTGATAGCATGCCTCCATGCAGCAATATCTTCTTCACTATCTGATGTCAGGATAAATTGCTTGTCTCGTTTAGTGCCACCCAAATAACAGTCTGAGGTAACAATAATACTACACTGATGTTTACATGCTAATATCTTTGAATCCTGCAATTTTTAGTAGAAAATTAAACTGAAAGTTAAATTTATTTTAGAAAATTAAACTTATTTTAATTTTTAAAAAGTTTTCGTTTTTAAATTTTATCTTTCAGAAATATAAAACAAGCATTGGAAGAATAAAAATTCTGGATGAAATACATGTGATTAATAGATACATTTTTAATTTAAACAATTTCTAATAAAGACCAATCGCTACGTGAAGTACCATAACGTGACCTCCCTCAAATCCTTTTTGTACAAGGTCAATTTTGCTACTTACAAAATAACAATAATTTTATTAGCCTAGACTTGTCTTAAACAAAAGAAGAGACAGCCGGCAGATACAAATGAAAGCATAGGGAGACGGAGAGAAAAGAGCAAGAATGGTATAAAAAGGAAGTGAAACGAGTAAAAAGAATCACTGTTATAATTTCTTCATTAAAATTGAAAAACTGAGTGGATGGAATCATTCTTGTCAAATAGTAATACGCGGGATCGATCGCCCGTGTGATCTGTCAGAAAATTTAGTTTCCGATAGAAAGATGAAAGATAAGATTTAAATTTATACCACGCGAAAAAGTAGATCAAGTGGATTGGATTGAAGAGTTTCATCTGAGTGCAATATGAATTTAAAATTCCTGTATTGCTATTCTGAATGAAGCTCTTTGTATACTAAAAGTTTGATCATTCCTAAAACATTTATTGATTTCTGAAAGTTCTCTTACACATAAAGAAATATTACTTACCTACCTTATTAATATAAATATGAAGGATAGCATGATCCTGTGAATACTGTGAATTGTTTGTTACACATCGTAAAATACCAGCCTGTAAAACACCAAAAAAAGATTTTTTTTCAATTTTTATAAAAAAAAGTTTGAAGGAATGATTCAGTTTAGTTTTCAAAATCACCATTCATCCTTAATTAAATGTAATATAAGCTAACTTATGATCTGTTACAAACTAACTTGTAATCTACAACGCATATTCTGATACAAATAATCATAACCAACAGGTTTGATTGTTAAAATACCATCCGATAAAGGCATTGCTACCGAATTTGGTTGGGCAACGATTCGACATCGAATATGGCCGTATAATGGTGGGCCATGATCGGCTGCTACAACATGAAGTAATGATTGATAAATGTAATAATTTCATGTGCATGAAGTAAAATATAGTAAAAGTGAGCTTTAATTTAATAATTTATGCAACAAAACTTATCACAACTTGAAAATACAAATCTTTTTTTTTTAATTTTCTTTTTAAATTTTCTCTAATTTCATAAATGGAAAACTGTTCAAGACAGTACTTTAAGTAGGACTTTTCTTCTGCTAATTGCTTTCAAAATTAATGATGGTAAGTTTTATTTTAACATAATAGAAGCAGATGAATTCAGTTTTGATTGTGTCTTATTTATATTAAACTTTATGCTAAGGACACATATGAATAGTTCGTAACAATATTTCAAAAAAAAAAAAATTTATAAAGGCTTAAATTTTATGCCATCTTTCACCAAAAAATAGCGCTAGTTTGAGACTTAAGTTTTGAATTATGAGTTGCAGAAATTTTAAGTCCAAACAATTAATCAATTACTTTATCAGTCAGACAAAAGAGTGAAACGGAAAGAGAAAGAAATATGAAGTTGATTTCATAAATATACGCTCTTATCAATCTGCCGAATGGATTTCAATAAGTACCATTTGGTGACAGATGAAGGTCGTAAATTCCGGCTTTCGGTTTTGCATCACTCAAAGTCAATGTTGTCCGACCTAACAGATGAAAATATTTATTGTTTGAGCCGTTTTGACTGCCACCATTGCCAACAACTTCACCATTCATTAACGGATCGAATGGTATCATATCATCACTCATCCAAATTGTCTTCTAAATTTCATCAATTTTGTGAAAAGCTTGTCTTCGTAAATTTCCTAAATTTGAAAAAATTGAAAAATACAGCGCGCCAAAAGAAAAAAAAAGGGAAAAAATAATTAACATAATTAGTGCCAAATCGTCGTCCAAATGAACGAGTTAATTTCTGCTTTAATGATTGATTGTTATCACCGCCATCGGTTCGTGATGCATAAAGCTGAATTTCAATTTCGAAATCCACCGGTTGATTTTCGCTAAAATATCAATAATTTTTATTTCAACATTACATTAAAATTAAATCAAACATTTGTATTCTGACATTCCAATCATCTCGTAGCTAATAATAAATTTACTAATTTCTTTCCAAAATTTATTCATTTCTTTCCAACTATCTTAAAATAATAATGAAAAATGAAATTTTGAAGAAGGAAAATTATATTTCTAATATATTTAAAAAAGAAAAGTAGAGGTTTCGTTTTCTATGAAATATCAAATAGTGAACAAACAATATGAACGAATCGGTAAATGTCACATCGGTACATGTACGATCAACGGCTGTTACAATACGGCTATCATTAATGTTATTTGTGGCTCGAAGTGCCACAAACATCGAATATACTTTTCCCTCTGGAAAAATATTGATCATTAACAGTGAATTTACTTTATTGTAGGGGAGATGATATGCTTTGTGGAATGGCAATTTTAATTATAATGTTCAATAAAATGATTTCATATCAATACAAGTAAATTAATATTCTTGATAATGAAGATTGGGGAGAGATTTGAATAAGTGAATAAATTAATCAAATTTCATATCTCATTGATTATCCTAAATGAAACTGGCTTGAATATATCAGCAAAAACTTTTCAGTATATCACAGGCTAACATAATTCAAACTATTTATAAATATATTTTTAACTATGATTCACAATGTAAGCCCACGAAGTAAGCTTATTGAACATTTTGAGTTTCAATTTACAAATTCAAAAAGATTATTTAATCATTGCGGGAAGTAAAACACGTAATAATACACCTCCACGTGCTCCGAAGTGCTCATCACTATTCCAAGCTAACGGCACTGATAAATGTGACACACCAATTCGAGCTCTGCTTGGACTATTTGATAAGGTTGAAGTGCGATATATTTCTCCCTTTTGAACACTGTAAATCTCATTTCTGGTAAAAAATAACAAAAATTCCAAATTTAATTGTAAATAAAGATTTGTAGAAATTTTAAAACGATCAGGTTCTAGCGGTCAATTTTTCTATTATACAAAAGCTGAATTTAAATATCGATCTATAATAATAATGCTAAAATCAGAGACTACACATTGAATTATAATTAGGAATTAAACTATCAAATATATAAAAAATGTCAAAATATACTCTGTGGTGAAGAATTTCTGGTGCCGTAATTTGGTAGATAATACAGTTACACCTGATTGAGACTCTCCTACAAGAATGGATGTGGTACCATCGTTCATATTCGTCATATTTTAACTTCAGTATGAATTTTCATACAATTATACCATTTTCTTGATAGCTTCATATCCTTACTACCACATGTATTGCAATTTCTAAAAAATTTTAAATTTTTATTAAAATAAAATTATTGCAAAATGCACAACAATTCATAAATATGCACACCCCGAAAAACTTGTTTTGAAATATGAGCAAAATGAATTTCGAATAAAGCTGTCTATTTTAAAATTTCAAATTCAAAGAGTGAAGAGTGGATGGGGAAGGGCTATATCGAATTGTCAGAGGGAGCAATCATCGAATTGCAATTGCAGGATTTGTTTATAATGGCATGCTGCTCGAAGTAAATAAACATTCAGAATTTTGTAACATTATCTATTTATGCTTTTTATAAATGCTGCCAATCTCAGATGGTAGTTGAAAAAATATTCATAAAAATTCTATGTAAACAATGAATTCGAAAAGCAAATGAATATACTTTTTGGAAAGCAAATTAATAAAAAAAACAAACTTTTTGGACCGTTGTGTTAATTTCCGCCCATCAATAAAGTTTTCAAAAAAAATTTGTATAATAGAAAAAAATATTTAGCAACAGAAATTCTCCGATTCTTTTAAAATTTAATTTAGGACCTAATAAAGTTTGCTAATAGTATTTTAATTGGGATTCATCAGCATGACATAATAAATCTAAATTGAAATCTATGACACATTACCGATTCAGGTTTCGATTATACAATTAAGAATTAACTAACTTTTCTTCTCATTTATCCCGCTGAGATAGTTTTTCATTTACAATTTTAATAGACGGTGAAAGAATATTATCCCCATCATCAATTTAATCCCAAAAAAAAAAATCATAGCTGCGAGAATAATCACAAATATATATAATGATAATTTTAATTAGAGACAGTGTTCTTTTCGTTGTCAATTTATATCACAAGTTAGTATCATCAAATTAAACTATCAGAAAATAGGTGAAATGTAAACTGCAATGTTAAATGAATTATTGAAATGATTTCTTAGCAAATTTCAAAACTCAGTTGACATTTACTTTCTATTTGTTGATAAATACTTATCCGATAATTTCGATAAACTTTCTCCTTACCTCCCCCTCTATCTCTCTCTCTCTTTCTCCTTTATGACCTTCTTTTTAGCAAAAAAAGCGTGCCACACAAACTGACCGATTTTACCTATCGAATTCAAAAATCATTGAAAAGTACATCAACACGATGACCCAACTCATCCGCATCAAACATTAGAAAGTATTTGCTTCCATCATTTAACGAAGTTCTGCTTTTCTTTTCTATCATTCATTAAACTTTACAATGACCTCAGTTTGATTTGAACCTTTGAATCACAATTTTTTAATTAAAATCTCTCAGTTTACCTTTGTGAAGATCAAAATTTGCAACAGATATAATTTTAAAAGTCGACTAATTAAACGCTGAAAGCGTAGTAATTTTCTGCCATACCATATTCGTTTTTTGTTTAGAGTTCAGGAGCTAGTAAGATTATTTCATTTCTCAACTCCGAACTATTTCAAAAGAAAATCAATCTTACAATCTAAATATTAAAATTTTAATTTTAAATATTGAAAAATAAAAATCTAATCTATTAAATGGAAATGAATTTTCAAAAGAAAGAATAGAAATAAAGATCTTTTTTTAATAAATAAAGAATCCATTCGACAATCAATGTGAAACATTGATAAATAAAATTTATTTCATAAAATCTGCTAGAAATTTTGTTATAAGTGAAAGCACACGTAATGTACGTGCAACATTTTCAAGAAAAGCGATAAAAAGTAATGCAATTTCTATGTAGTGAAATAGATAAAGAAATTTAAATTAGCGGATAGGTCAATTTCTTAATAAAAGTTCAGTGAGAGATAGTCCTTGTAGAAGTAGCCATCGTGTGCAATATTGAGTGGACAGTCATAAATGAGACAATAAATGATTGTATAATTTTTAGGAATATTCATCGCAAGAAATTGAAATTTACGACAGAGATGTTCGCAGTATATAACTTCTCCGATAAAACATTGTATTTTTCATTGATACAATGAAGATGGAGAGACTGGAAAATGAATGAAAGTGAAAATTTATTCAAAATTTCTGTTAACTTTTATAAAATTGTTAAATTTCATCTTTTCCAAATCTTGACTTAAAAAATATGGATACAGAAAAATGGATATCGTCCGTCCCGTTTATATCTTTCTTTTTTTTTTCCTGAAAATAAAAACTTTTTCACTCTGCCATAAATCGGAGAAGTGTGTAAAAGATGTGGTACTAAAAAAAGTTTATAGTATAAATGAAATCATTCCGATTATCACATACAACAATGATAATTTCAATTTCCGAATCTTATTGATCAAAGAATTACGGTATTGTGTTAGTTTACTTAAAATATTCAAACATATATCAAAAAATGAGCATGAAATATAAACATAAAAGGACATTTCGCTGAAAAAATAAAAGAAGTTGAGAGATAACTGGAGAGTAAACAAAAAAATTGCATCGTTTTGGAAAAAATAGGAAGAAAATTTTGAAGAAGAAAAAAGTAGAAAAGGAATAAGTGTGTCAGTTGAATAAATGTGTAATGATGGATGCTAGGTGAATGGCGGTTTTGTCACTAATAGCGCCAGTATATTTGTTTCTGTGTTATCCTTGGATTACATCAGATAATTGTTTTTTTTATTTTATCTTTAATCATTCCGTGTTAGCGTAATTGAGAAACATTTAGCAAAAAGTTTACAAATCACTATTTCGTTGAAGATGATTATTATAATAAACCTGGACAAATTTCACTCATTGCGCAATTGGTAACCTCAAAATTTTTCTTTGCAATCTCTTTCTTTTTTTAAAATTGATTTGATTTGCTGCAACATAGAAAAAAATTACATAATTAAATAAAAGAAATTAGTTCGCTTGGAAAATAAAAATATTAGATTAAAAAAATTATTTTGTAATTATCACTGAAGCTTTCCACCAATATATTTCTCCGTTTCATCGCATTTTCTAGAATTTATTAAAGCTAACTTCTATTCTCATCAATGACAAAAGGGAACATAATAAAGGAATGCAATAAAAATTTTGACATTGTTTCCATCTGTTTATCGTGAAAATTTGTAAAAAAAAGGATAGAAATTCAAAAAAATTTTTTTGAGAAATGAATTTGTAACCGGATGTTTAGAAAGTTCTTAAATAATATCTAATTTCTGAAATTTATGAGAGATTGTTCTAAGACAATTTGAGTGTCTGCGAAAATCGGGAAAATAAATAAATACAAAATGTGTCTAAAAACTGTAAATAAAACAAAAAACAAAAACAATGGCTGGAAAATTTCATAAACAAATAATCTTCGAAATTTGGCATGAATTTTCCGGTTATTTTAGTACATTTCATTAAAATAAACTAAACAAATATAGCCCTAAATGAGAAAGTTTTAAGCTAAATAGGTTGCTACGAATTGATCACAATAATATGAGTCAAGCGGAAAGAGAGAGAGAGAGAGAGAGAAACAGACAGACAGACAAGAGAGAGACAGTAATAGGGATGGTCACAGGTCATGAAGAAGTCAGGTCATCATCTATCCTATCGATTCGCTTATGCATATCTCATTTGAATTGCTATCTCATAACGACACACTTAACACTCATTTAATTTTAAAATTTTTTAAATTAAAATAAATTAATCATCTCAATAAATTTAAGCGATTTTAACTTGTAAACAACTGATGTTCAGAGAAACAATAGCGAAACTTTTTTACTTCCCCAATCTTTTTTGTCAAATTTTGTTTATCTATCAGTATGCATGTATGTGTATGTGTTACAATGGAAAAAAAAATTTGTCACCTGTTATAAAAAGGTTAAGAGAAGCACCGGAAAACTTCTGTAAAATGATCATGAATCAAAACAAGACGCTTTGTTAGTGATGTTTATACACACACATACACACACATACACACATACACACACACACATACACACACACATACACACACACACACATACACATATACAAAATAGACGAACAGACACACACACACACACACACACACACCCATGCATAGACAGATAAGGGTGAAAGCAAAATGATTGCTAACCCGAATTGAAAATATTGCAAGCAATATGTCCGGACATTTCCTGTCTGTGTGATCATCCATCCATCCGGAATGACACCCACACAGACATATAAGTGGAAGCAGGCAGTATATTTAATTCGTTGAATGGTACAAACATGCCACACTTTTGCAAACAATAATTATATTCTATCAAATAATGATTACATTTCTATCTGAATGGGAGCATTGGATTGTTATTGCCAACAATCAAAGCTTTCCAGTATTGTTTGTACACTTCATTTGACCTTTTATGCAGAGAGCTATCACCTTTGTCAATTGGTCATTGTAAATCGCAAGAAGTGATCTGAATGGCAACTACCTAATTTTTTGTTACAAAAAATGACAGTGATAGATGACCATTATAGATTTGGGAATGACCTAAGGGAAAAGTTATAGATCAGTTGACATTGAGAACAGCTATGACAAAAGCAGAGAATGAATGGAATAAAATTTGTTTTAAATTAAAAATATTCCTCTATGATCAAGTAATGTAACAGCAAACAAGGTAAACTAAACTAATGAGACAAATAAATTTTTGTATTACAAAAAAAAGATGCTATCAATTAATAATGATTGATTGTTGGGAAACGATTTCAGGAATGATTATAAACGATTTCAGGAATGACTGAAATAAAAGTTATCCTTAAAATTTCCCATTGTTATCTATGATGCCATTTTTCAGTTTAATTTCCAATTAACATAATTGTAATTGTTCGAGGAATTTGAATATTCAAATTTACTCTTATTTTTTTATTTATCCTCATGCTCTTTACGATACGTTTACTTGAAACCAGAAAACAAACTATCCGAACGTAACGGATAACCTTTTCATCACGTTACATAATTCATTCCAATATGATACAAGTAAAAACGCTTCATTTAA